ATTTCGCTAGGTGGAAATTAGTGTTATGAATCGTATGAAATTAGCACTCAACGCTAATTGCTGCTGGTATTTTATCAGAGACAAAACGGAGATGCAAACGAAAACGAATTCGCGCAGCGGAGCGCAGAATTATAATGCACGGTAATAAATCAGACAAATCTACCGAGTGCCAATCTGTGTTTGTATGCAAAACGCGCCGCACCGCAAAGCTATAACTGACCTATAAATAATTAATACAGCTCGTATGCGCTGAGCCAAGCTTATATCGGATTTATATTAATTAGCGTCAAACATGAAATGATGCATTACTTTCGCCGGGACCACATATCATTCGCAATTTAAAAAACCTTATCACTACACATCCCATTCTTCATGTAGACATATCTAACACGCTCTAATTGTGCATATTGCATATTATTTGAATTTTTATTAATAAAAAAAATTCTTTGCGAATGAATTTTTCTTGAAAAAAGATAAATATCGAATTTTAACATGGGGCGCCATCTACTGACAAATATAAGCAACATATATTTAAATAATATCTATTCCAAATTTTAAACTGATTGAAACATACATTTTCTTTATGCAAATACTCAAACAATTATTATTAAACATTCATATTAGAATAGAATAAAGTGTTTAACATGTCAATGCGTTTGAGCGGTGTAATTAATCAAACGTCGATCAATCTTTTCAGGAAAACGCGACGTTAGCGTATATCATATGCACTGTCCACCGCGCGAATAGTATTCGCACGCGGATATTATAATGCGCATGTAAATACGCTGTGATTTTGTTATTATATCGTTGGAATCTCCACGACATATCGCAATGACGGCAGTTGCGAGTCCGATCGCTCAGACAAAGCGATAATCAATCAAACCTATAATACGTCGCAGTCAAACTTGGTCAGCGTTCGATATGCAATCGATCGATAGCGAGAGGCAACAGTTTTATGCGATATTAGCTGGTATAAGAAGTAAGCGTGTAATGTTTAATCTTATGACAAGTATAAGTAGTCATTCTCTTACAGTGTTGGACGTCTATAAGTCATAGAAAAGTTATATCGTGCAAAACTAAGCGACTTTGCTTCAACATGTTGCATTAAATCATATCAACACTTTTTAGTCAGGCATTATTCTATTTATTGTTGATAATTTATTCATATTCATACATAGGGTATAGATTTAAAGTTGTTGGAAGGTCACGTTGTACCTGGGAAGGTTTTTTTTAACGTAATAACAAAACAAATTAAATTTTTATTAATATAGCATTAAATATTTGTTAAAAACGCTTAAGTAGAGCAAACAATTGCTAAGATGGAAATCTGGTATGCAAATTGAGGTAATACACACACATGCACGCAGTGGCTTTAATTGAGTGGACGAAAAATGAAAAGAAAGAGTAAATTACATTCGTATCTTTCGCTGTTTCCACCATGTCTCGGTTTCACATTCGCCGCGCAAGCATCTATTCAGGCGACCGCACGTGAATTACTACATTACCACATTGCATCTAATCAATGCGTCCACTTTACGCATTAAGCGGCGCGGCGCTTTGACTCCCCTTCAATGCCGCTTTCGCGACTTTCAGCTATTACGAATCAATGAAGGCGGTTGGCGCCGAATGAATGGCGATTTTCCAAACGCACACGAATAATCGAATAATCGCGTGCGTGTGCCGCTCCGTACAACGCACAACGTGTAAATAATGTCAGGTTCAAATGAAAACGTTGCAGCGTTGCAGAATTGCTGAATTATATCCGCACGCAGATTGATTCATTGCGACGAGCATAATGCGCATGCGTCTGAAATTGAAGTCCTAGTTTGAATAGAAAATACTTATTTACACCGATACATCTTCGTGCAACGCGCCGACTTCAATGGGCTACTTGGCCACTTTAATGAATATAATGTGTTATTAATTAGCATTATGCAATTACGGACGACGACGGACGGTCCGATCTAAGTTAAGAATCGAAGCGGCTGTTAAGACATTATTGCTGCCAACAAACGGTGCTGCAATCGCGGGCTGCACACACGCACTTGTTGTCGGTACCTACAGCTGACTAGTAAATTGCTTACAAGTGCAGGACCGAACTATTTGTTCTAAAGTACAAAAATTTACCTACATGTCAACTTTTAAATGTTTCTGATTGTTTTTTGGGTTGAGATTGAAGGTATGTGTATTTGTAGCAACTAATATTTAACTAAATGCGATCCTGATGTGCAGATTTGCATGGCAGTAGTTATTGCAACATTATACGACGTCGTGCGCATTCCAAGCCTTGCCGCACTGTTGTACATTATGCCGATGCCGTTGAAAACGTTCGATTTTTTTTCATCCAGTGTTTTGCTTCTTTTCCTCAGTGCATAATTGTCAATCGCTTTCTGAATGCAAAGCTGACAAAAATGCATTTTGCATTTAGTTACAGCGAGAACAGCGCAGATGTGTGGTTAATCAATTGATCTTTGGCATCTTTGGCTCGCTTGCTAATCACATCTTCATCCAGCCAACTAGAGTCGATGCCTAACGTGTAATAGCGGCATTATGCCGCCATTGTTTAGACATTATGTCCACACGAAGTCGCATGAATTCTCATTAAAATCATGTTTTCACTAAACGATTCATCGAAATAATTGAATCACAAATTGAGCGGCGTATAATAATTTATTTCCAGTGTCAAAATTAATACGATGCGATTAATCGTTGATCACTATTAGCGTGTTGATGTTTATAATTTGCACAGCTATTAAACGATTAACAAAATACACTTGTAAACGCCGTGGGCGATTCGTTGGCGCCTAATCGTGAACGCCTTCTATTGGGATATTAAGTAGCCGAAAAGATAATTAATAAAACCGGTATGGCCAATACAAGATAGCCTGTCACAAGTCGACATCAAGTCCGTAAAAAAAACACACACATATTCTATATCTGCAAAGTTAAAGGCTGTGAAATACGTTTGGCAAATTAACGTATGTCTGCCCGAAGACATATCGCGAATATTAACTAACCAAATATCTGCCAAGCACAGACGATTATGCCTGGTGGCATGGAAAGAAAGACCAGAGTTGTATCAATTTAACTGTTTATATTTATATTTATATAGGTATAATATAACCATTCACCAATTCACCATTCACTAATATTTGTTGTGAGATATTTTTTGTAACACTAATCTTGTTCTTATTCGTGTTTTAATCAACCTAACACTTTTATTATTCGCGATTAAGTGATTTATTCGTATTCGCGGTGCTATTAAACAGTAGCGGCAATAAAAACGATGATTGGATCGATTAAACATTTGGCAATTTGGCAAATTAGTTTTCGCGTGCGGTTTTGGAGCGCTTCAATACGGTAGTGGTTTTGGCTCGTGAAATGCCGCGAGGCAAACACGCGAAATATTTGGTAGATCTTTAACACATCGTTTTTAGCACTTGCTATAAAGTTATAAACGCCTAAGCAGAAACATTAATCATGATTAATTTGTATTTAATTATTTCATAAATATTAAACGCCAAAAACTCAATTTTCGAAAATGAACTTTGATTTGTGCGCATATTATTATAAATCGTAGATCAGAGTGTTCTGTATACGCGCCGGATACAGAAAAATCTTCATATATTAAATTTTGATATTGTGTTAAATTACAAATAGAGAAATTTAAAAAATTGATATAATCAAAGTAATATGTAATAATTTGAAATGTAATATAGCAATTATTTCAATATTGACTGTTGGTTTTGTGGTTTCGAACAAAAATGCACCGGAAAACGCAAAAACCGCAGACTCATCCCCTAATCGTAAGCTTTCTAAGCGCTATTCTAGCTCTATTAGAACCAAAGGTTTCTTCAAAAGCCTCATCATCAAACAGTAGCCTTCCTGTTCCTATTAGAAGCACAAAGCGCTGTCTATTACCGATGGGCCGTCATGATGAAAGCAGGCTATTCTTTTAAATTTGATGCCACCCGTCGTCTCCACAGTTCATCTATCTTCCATCAAACTTATGTCCGCATTTAAGAAGGTGGTGCCTTAACGAAGGGTGGTGCTGACGTACAACATATGGCGTAGACCGTTAGAAAAATTACCATTACCATTAAAAATTGCAAAAATCATTGGTTATTAACTCAAAACAAAGTATAAATTTGCATTAAACTTGCATTATCAAACACAAATTAATGAATATTAAATCGCGTGCTTAAAAACGCGCTTGTTTTCCATTGATAGACGGTAAGTACTTACGACCTTATGTTATGCGTTATCGTTGACTTAATCTCATTCGTCGTTGCCTTCTAATGGCCTTACCTTTCTTATAGGTATTAAAAGTATAGACGTTTGGGTCGTTGGGTCGGTTTCGTCGCGTGCCACATATCGTAACAGCTGACTGACTGTTTGTTTGGTTGGCCAATACCTCAGGCTGGAAAAGGCGCGAAGATTTTTTAATGTCACACGAACGAATTCTAATATTCATGTACATTCATAATTCAGGAAGTTAATCATCTTCGTAACAAACATGTAAATTAAATTAATAATTTATTACGTTTTTTATAAAACATTTTAAATAGAAAAAAAATACAGGAAGTGACTAATCTCAATATTTAATGCTGGCTATGTTTTTAATGATATATGTAAGAGAAACAATTGCACTTCTTGCAACTTTATAGGCGATTGGAACTAAACTGGAGCGTCGGGAGCAGAAAAACTCAGTTAATTTTTTGTATGCGAAACGATTAGAAGCGCTTGTCCTCGTACTAATCTATCTCTGGTGGCGAGCGTTACAGCAACCCGGTGCGTCAGATGGTCAGCGAGAAAAAAGGCTTTTCAGCAGCCGTCATCGCTGTAACATTTGTTTGTGAGCCTCATATATCTCCAACCTGATTAAATGACAATTTCCTTCATCATACAAATCTCAACAGTTGCTACCAAAACAACTGTCTCGGTTTCATTAAGCATTAATTAGATAGATGTACTAAATAGTTTATTTTTGTTTGTTACAGTCTGATCTCATCATTGAGGGTACTATGATCACGATGGAGTGCCAGCCAGGGGGTCATGGAGGCCACTTGGGGCACTCCATGATGCTCGATCCCTCCGGCGTCATCCATCAGGACGACCACAAGAAGAAAGGTGAGTGTTTAATAGGAAGTGTGCAATACCATTACCTTAGGGTGTGTCGATTGTGGATACATGATAAAAATCATTAAGTAAACGATCTTTAAGAAATTATTGACTGAGAAGCCGGCGCGCACCGCCTTGTAATAAAACGCGATCGGCGCTTTTGAAGCGGGCAATTACTATCAAAATTCGATCGCCGTCATGATCCGTTCTCGCACGCATTCATCACTTATGTGAGCTTCTTTGATCGTTACACCCACAATTTCAATGATTTCATTACACTAAACAACAACATTTTGCGAGCGATTTTTAAAAATTCATTTCTTTTTACTGGTGGTAATCGTAATCGTTTTTCAAGATTGAAAATCGTTCATTTTACACTTTCAGAATTTTATGCGCATTTAGCACTTGTATCGTCATCAATTTGCCATCAGTTAAATTGATTTTACATCGTTTCGCCGGACATAAAGCAAGTTTCCCAGCGGGTTTTATAATCGTCGAGTGACTTTTAAATCCTGCAGATTGCTGCAAGAAATTCAAACATCAAATTGACTATTATAGCCATCATTAATATATTGGACCATTCGCGTCTGCATATAATATTGAAGATTCCCAGGTGCTAAATCCGAACATGTTTCTATTTTATGTTCTTATTGGTTTTCTAGGAGACAGCAACGCACACGTTGGGTCGTCATCGGGTGATGGTGAGTTTTATTACATTATTTATATTTATACCTAAATTTACACATACACATACACAAATACCGAGTTAAATTGGTAATTAGACAGGATAAGTAAATATAAGTAAAATATTGTAAATTGCTTTTACAATGTTTGAATTGCACTTAATTGCCGCGTACGGCGAGTCGATTAAATTCTAAAATGATTAACGGATTTCGAATGAAATTATATGGCAAGATATGTGTCACCTGTTGATCATAGCCTTTTATGTGCGCGTTCGCATGCGCGTGATATCAATATAAATTTGCCGTTTGCGCACAACGACTTTTGACTTTAATACGCGCATAAATATTTTAATGCTCGTGCTCGTTTGCTAGTTCGCATTATAAATATATGCATCCTTTGGGTTCGTGCCTCCGTTCGTTATACAAAGATTTGAGAAGTTATAAACATGCAAAAACGTTATAACATCGAGCGCGCAATTTAATAAGCAACACACGACGACGACATCGGCGTAGATAAACGCACGCCACGCGCAGGCGAAAAACGATCATCGGGAGAAAATCGTACTGAGCTAGTCTTGTTTACGTATGTGACGCACTGCTAGTGAGATTTTCGATTTTCAAATTGAGCATTACCAGCATTAAACTCACTCACTTACCGCAAGCAACATACCGAATGTCTTGAATAAAAATTGATCGTGATTTATTGCCAGAAAGTAGTCACTTTTGACGTGTCTAAATTCTACAGCAACGCGCCCATGAAAAGAGTGGCCTAACGTAAGTTTAATAATAACTACCGAGTCAATTTGAAACCAAGTACGAAGTGCAATTTACTCATTGTTATATAACAGTCGGTATAAAGTGGACAAGTGATAGTTAATGCAGTAATAAATAATCGACACTACTGGCTTATTGGCGTAGGTGGCGTTCGGATCTTTTATCAGGAATTCATAAATAGAAAGCGGTGTGTCCGCAATGCAATCGCGCTGTGGAGCGCAGCACATTCTTCAACTTCTCATGAGCTTTCAACTCTTTCAATTCGTTTTCTTGACGATCGCGCATTGGGCAAATGAAAAGTGCACTCGAATAAAATAGTTCTGATAGTTTTAAGTAACAAAAATAAATGGCAAACACATTTTAATAGCTTGTCGCGGTAGTTATGGAAGTATAACTGGTACGATGATTCTAAATTTGATTGTTTCCATAAATACGCCCCTGCGCAGAGCAAATCGCATGAAAAACTGAACGTCTGAGAAAAAAAAGAGTTTAATAGTTAGCATGTAACTAACGACCGATACTGATCTTTAAAGGTAATAAAAACATTATCGTAATCACTTATAGGTAATACGAATGGTATAGTTTCGTGTGTATTGCGTACACATTCACTTCTTCGGGTTTGGGTTGCTGTCGGATCTCCATCTGATGGCTTGCAGCACGAAACGGATACCCGCCTGCAACACTGCAAGCAATGCAACACGTAAACCAAAGCGAACACGAAAACAGCGAGTTCGACATAAATAAGTAACCGAAGTAACGAATAACGCACACACTCGATTGATATTTACCTGTCGAACACTTTTCCGCACACAAGAATCAAATATTAGAATAAGTGGAATTATTTTTACTGTGCTACAACTACACACACACCTAAAAAGGTACTTTCAAATTACACGTTGTGTAGTGGTACATGTACCAGGCAATCAAAGTCTAATCTCGTATATTAATTTCGATTAATATAAAAATATTTACAACTTTTACATGTTTACACATGTGTACAAGATGCTAACTAGATTTTCATTTGGATTGCCACACAATTACGGTGCGAATGAAAAAATGATTTACAGAACGATTGTAACAATAAAAAGGAATGAAAGTGAACAAAATCGTAAACGCTTTCACAAACGAGCACCAACTACACTTGTACTCAGTACGGTACCAATCAAATTAACAATTTTTATTTTGTAATTTATATCACACCAATTCTACTTGCCAACATTGCGACATCATTTAAGCAATACCTTAATATCCCACTTTACTACGCTTTAACAACAATTCAAAAATAAATTAAGAAAAAAACAACAGAAAACTGGATTTTGTGCAGACTTTTAAATCCGTGTAAGTGTAAGACCAACGTAAGGAAATTTGCGGTTTTACTCACTAACAAGTAGCCTAGAAACGAAACTAATTGCAGTATACGACGGAGCAGGAAACACTTTTTTTCAGTGCGAACCATCTCAAACAGCATCCATCCGCGAAAGAACGAACGGTTGTGGGTGTAGTACGATTATGCGCGACCCGACCGACCGCCCGACCAGTTATCTAACACAGTCTTGTGCGAGTGCGCTTTTTTGCGGAATCTTCGAACACTGTTTATAATGCGGCGTGTTATGGATTATGCGGGAGCGGAATTGCGCCGTGCGGCGCATGCATCATCCGCGTATCGTTGACATCACTGACCTCAACCGCCCCTTTTGGCGTGCTATGCAATAACATCTTCTACCACGAGCAAATTAAACGTTTTCCAACATTCGTAATTTGATTTAATTACTTCTAATAACATATTTTTAATGAATTAAACAAAAATTCAGTGCAGTTATATTTTCTGCCGATGTAACAGTCATGGTATATTTAAAAACGTATCAAAATTGGCTACATCCCCAAAATATCAAGTTATTATGTTGTGGATGGTCAAATTAAGTATGCAAATGCTTCGGTGTCTAGTTAGGTGCGTGAAATGCAACCATGAGCACGATTACATTCATTTTCTCATTTATTTATTTATTCAATTAACGGCTTTACGGTACGCGGCTTTAATGCGCGCCACTGGTCGACTTTTCATAGATTAAGCAGCATCGCGTTGCCCAATAGGACATTAGTCAAACTTATTCGGACGCGACAAACAAATAAAAAACTACCGACGAGAAAAAAAACTCAAAAAGAATCCGGACCGCGTTCTCGCACACCTCGGTCCACGCGTGTCCAGCGCCCAGCGTCCGGCTCGTGAGCGTCGCTTTAATGTCTTTAATGCCTTTTACGACGCAACTGAAATCAGAAGCGAACACGTGCTCGACGTGATTTTGATACGGACGTATGTAGGTACATTCGAATTACATTTCTTTTGAGCTCCGAAAATGTGTGTCCGTTAATTGAACGTTATTAATGGCACCACGCCATCACCTACCTACCATTCACGATTCTTCTGCACCGATGAATATATTCCTCATAGAGAGCATAATGTGGTAAATGTTTTTCTAAGCGTATGTGGGTACTTTTACTTCCTTCTATTGCCTTCCAACTTGCTGCTTTAGTGATATTTCATGTTCGTTGTTGGTAATAGTAGATGTTATTAACCAAATTTGGTATGGTTTCATTTTGGGAAGGACTAAAGACGCTATAATGCGACAACATCTGACGGGATCGATTTAGAATAACAAATCTTGTGTTTTAAATTAATTTCTTGTCACATTTGGCCTCTGAATATGGGTAACAATCATAATACCAGCCTGGTCTATTGATAGTAAAATGTCGAATGTGGTGGCTTGCAAAACGTGTTAAATATGGTGCAATATTAATAATATTGATGGCTGTTTCAATATTTTGAAGAAATATAAATACCAACCGCAGGCTCGTACTTCGTATTTGCTCATACAGCTAAAATGAAATATTTCCTATTCAAATCTTACCAATCTACACATATTTTATTTCACATTGACCTGCGTGCATTATGCACCGCGACTTGTTGCATATGACTGTCTTGAATAGACCATTTATCACGGCACATACACATGTCATATTGTTGTCGACTGAAATAAATATAAATATAAACTATTTCACCAAATGGAAGAGAATCAAAGGAGCAAATGATACGATTGCAAAATTGCTCAATGAATTTATTTAAATTGGCGGGTAAAAACGTTGCGTTATTCTTCGTTTAATTGCAAAGTAGGCCAATTTGGAAAAGAATTCACCTTAGAATCTGCAGCACAAGTCGACAATCAGATTAACACGAAACGTTTAGCGCACATTGCACGATTCCACGCTACACCAAAGTCGCTAAGCAATTCACAATTCAATTCGTTTAGCACGGACACTTTGATATATTTATTATTTATTAAGAGACTTAATCATGTGCGAAATTAATTCTCAGACACCACAATCGCTCGAACTGTTAATAATCCAGCGCGGTAATTATCAATGCGGCTATTATACGCACGAACACAGACACATTGTGGGACTGCTCGAGAAGGTGATAAATGATTTTTCAACATTCGCGGTGTGGATTAAACTGGACGGCACTAATGAAATCGTTTGCCATCGACAATCGTTAAATAATAAACAATTCGTTTGCAATTTACAATTTAATCGATTGCGCTTTGGTATGTGCAACTCAAACATGAATTAATTTTCGCTTTGCTAACTAGAAATTAGTATTTAAATTGAAATAGATAACGGACACTTTGTGCTACTATAGGAGTGATGAATTTTGAAGTTAATGAACACATAGAACACAGCATTTTTATGATTTGCGGTAATTTGCTTTACCGCTCGGCGGAAAATAGAAAACGCATTTGTCGGCGACTGGGCGGGCATTTATTTTTCGATTCGCGATTATTATCGAAATGCAATGTAGGTACAGCCGTGATGTGGCAGCGCGCGGTGCAAAGCAATTAAATCGTAGTGGTCGATGTCTACGCGTAGGTAAGTACGAACGAACCGTTTTTGCTGGCGTAAGGATATAGATAGCAATATGGGTGGAAAATGTGAAAGAGCACATCGGTCAGCGTAATGGCAAAGTGCAGAAGGTTCAATCATATAGTAGGAAGACACAGATATGATGGGGCCCGATGGTTTGTGGAACGTTTTCGCATTCTTTCGAGAGCTCTCTGGCTTTCGTGGGTAATAGCTTCGTGTATAATTAAATAACTATTCCAACTTCTGCGCGCCCGCAACGCAACGAGCGAAGCCATCGCATGAACTTAAATCCGTGTACTGGAAACTGAGCTGGCAAAGAAAAATAATAGACAAGAGACAACCATTTTTACTTTCGTGGAAAAGTGCATGCGTGGCTTTCGAAACACACCATATGAATATTTTCTCCTCAACACTAAACATAAACACACCAAGGCCATCAAATAAGATATGTACGTTGCGGGTCAGATCTAGTTCAGGCCGAGTTAATTTCATTTGAATATCCACAGCTATTACAAGTTGTAATTTAAGCACGTGTGGTCGTGTTTGAACTCGTGTAGCAATACTTCACGAGTTCGATGGCAAAAGACGCGGATGGTAACCGATAATCATATTGTCGATGATTCTTTCTGCCTGCATTGACAAGACCATTTGTTGGTGGTGCTGGCCGGGGCTGCGAATTGGACGTTTTTCCACGTACTCTCATGCGTTTTGCGTTGCGTACGAGCGCGCCGATGCGAGATTTATGCGCGACGTGTACGCGAGCTCACAGTGAGGTAGGTAGAAGAAGCACAAATAGATAAATTGAGACGTTATCCGCCACAGATAATGGCCCGCAAATAGCAATGTGCTTCAAACTGATTTTTTCCGCCCTATTCTAACATCGATAGGCGAAGTTTAACGAATATTTATTACCATACGGCACGAAATTACGCGATAAATCAACGTAATTTCATCTCTTTGGGATACTTTAAATAACTTTAATTTGCACCACAGCACAAGTTCAAGAACAAATAGAAGAATAGAAGATTTTAAAATTATTTTCTGTATAAATCTAAATTTATGTAAAAACACAATCAGCTGATTTGAAGGGACATTTCCATGGCAAATGATTTATTTATCTAATGCAGTATAGTTGATAAGCAGCGTTGTTAAACTGTTAGTATAGTTTATACTCCAAAGATGATTAAATATAACGCATCGTTTTGAATACACGCAATCCACAAATAGATGCAATTCGATTTGATATTAACATAATAAAAGCGAAGAGAAATTGCGAACGCGTTTCGAGGCGTCAACATGCAAATCGCACGACTTATTTAAAACGATTTATGGCCTTACAATCATGCCTGGTTACGAGCTACATCTTTTCCGCAAAATCCGCAACATTCAACTAAAAATTAGACTCGCAATAAATTTATCTGCAGCTAATATTCCTGTCTACATTTTAAATATATTGAAATAAATCTTCAACTCACAATTATTTTCAAAATTATTTCTTTAAACCTAATAAAATCGAAATGATGTAATAAATCACTGCTTTCATTATCCTTGCTTAACTGCGCGCGATGCATGTAGTTAATTGCATTAATTAATACCGGAAAATTATTATAGTTGCATCAAGCGCGAGGCGTGCAGAAAAAAATATGGCAATAAAATGTTTGTTTTCTCTTTACCATTGTACGAATGTAGGTACATAAACGTGTCGAGTGCATTTTTCGTAGCCGGTGCATTATAATAAAATAACAAATCAAAAATTTCCGGCTAGAAAGTTTCGCTGCTCGCACCAGAATACCGCTGGTGATACGGTTTCGCTGTTTACGACGCAGTGCTTCACTTTTGCTCAGACGTCAGCATGCACTCGATTAGCTAAACTAATAACCACAATTATATTGCATCCACTAATACACAGCAATGCTTGGTACTCAAACTCGAGTTTTGCGTTTGCGTACAATAAGGCGATCAACCAATAACACGCACAAGCCTGCAATAAATTATTGCAACACAAATTATCGACGATGTAATTAAAACAAAACTGACTAATGAATAATTGATCGTGTAATTTAATTAGCATTAGGCATAGTGAGGTATATCACTATAGCTACTTGTAATTAACGCAATATTTACAGATTTAACATCATTAACATTAATAATTTGGTTAAATTTGGTTAAAAATAGTAAACTCTCTAATGTAGGATTTTTATACTGCCACGTAAACATTATACAAATAATATACTTACTATCATTATTCTCAAAAACACAATAACAATAATGAATCGATTTTAATGTAACAATAATGAAGATAATTTCATTACCATTTAAACATAGCATCTCATATAACCAAATGCTATACAATCAAAAAATGAAATTGATGGGTTATTACGAGCAATCATCTATTCAGTCGATCTGCAATCGTGCGTACCTATATTTAAATTATATTAAATTAACAAATGCTTTTGCATTCGTAAGTCATTAAAGATTATAGACACACAAATAAGAGATGTCGATGTACGAGTGCACATCGGAGATATTTATTGCTTTGCGCCACAAGCGATCTTCCGACGATGAAAATATTGATCGCACTCAAACTCTCGACCTAACTGATGAACACTAACATCACAATCTGTTTTTATAAATTTTACATGTTTCCACAAAATTTGAATGTTTTTATTGTTTGTTTTCAGTGTATCTTGATGACATGGATGATTCAGGTATGAATAGAACTAAATTATAATATTGAACGTTGATTAGAAATTGAAATGCTGCGTTACACTTATTGAAATATAAGTACCTGCAACTCTTGAATGAATGAAAATTCCAATACATACATTTCACTTCAATAAACCCAATGAACCGTTATCATTATGCTCGTATAGATGCGAGCATTCCGAAAATAATACAAATTAACTAACGGATATCGACGCGACATATGAGGTGTATGTATTAATAAATACGTTTGTAATTACGCATTTATTGAGACATCCGAGCTGTGTTTTGTGCGCCGCAGAATTAATAACGAATCAAAGTTTCAATCTCAGATTCAAGAGCCGAGCACGGCCGCAATTACGCGCAAAAGATCATAAAACGTTCGCTTCATTATGCCTTTCATCCATCAATAGCGGCCTGCGTTTCGCTTGCATCCTCGCTGGACGTAAGTGACTCGCATAAATGCCTCGCAATTAGACGAAATCATATCAATGTGTCAGTGTGTTACAGCGCGAGCGCGCAATAATAAAATGCAATACAACAGTATCGTGCGTACGCAGCATGTGCTTTCATTTCTTCCAGGCGCAATTCATATTCGCGCCGAGATTGACGATGAGCAATTTCTTGTAATGTAACTACGTTGCATTAAAATGAATCATTCAAATTAGTTTTGTATATGATATACGAGTATGCAACACATTTCAGGGATAATGTATAAAAGTTGCATATATAACGATTTTATGATTTTTATCTTAGATTCGGTCCTGTATCAATTGAAAAAGCAAGATATTGATATGTTCATGCGAAATAATTTCAGTAATTAGCAGCGGTCGGCAACACAGGTAGGTAATAGTGAAACAGAACAAACGGGGGCAATGGTACAGCGTTCATGTACACAATTTAACGCGATTGCATTAAAATTGTTCCATAACGTCGTTTGCTCACTGCAATACTTTGTACCGCGCACACACGCACTCGTACACACGATTTTAACTTAGTTAATGCACGAGCAAACGACTCTGACGTTTTCTTATGCGTCTAGCATCAAATCACATGTAATGCATTCATATCTCTGCTGTATGCTTCGTGTAAGTTTCAGACAAGCGTCGATAAATTTATGAGTCATGTGACAAGCAGCCGGAGAGTTCTAATTGGTATCTTGGTTTATCTCGAGTTTATTACCAATATTTTTTTTTTTTGCTTTTTGTTTCGAACGTTCGATTGGTCTGCAGGCCGTTGTTGACATCATTAGTCATTTGGCTAATAATTTTATTACACTTACAAAGAGTACTTGCTACTAAAGTTCTGCAATAATCATGTCTACGGTAAAGTGTAGGATATTAGTGTAATTTGTTAAATATTAATATCGATTTAGTTGTACTAGAGCAAACTCTTGTCATTGAAAAGCGAAACAAATTGATTTTATTAATCCCAAGTGATGAAAGCTTGCAAATAGTTAAATCGTAACACCTAGTGTACTTATATTGAGCAATAAAGTCACAATTAAGTTTGTAATTAAGTATATAAAATATCTGAAATGCATAGTTATAAATTAGACGCTTGGACGCTTAGTGTTTCGGTTTAATTTTACCTCGCTCATTAAAATTATATTTTTGTACAGAAATCCAAGCGTCATTAACCAACACGTGCGAGCGTTTACCTATTTTAGTTAATTTACTTAAATAAAGCTTTAAATTTTAATTGCATGTTTGAGTTCGTTAATAATTCATCATGTTCTGTGCAGAAGAGGTTATATTTGATAAATTTTAGGACGACGCCAGAATCAGTGCGTTACCAGTTTTATGATTAATATTATGCTCTATTTACTTCCGTAAGCCGAAGTAAAACAACAACAATAACAACCAACAAACGAGAATAACGTTTTGAAGAAGAAGAAAACAAATTTGTGGTTTGTCTATTGTGCGAGAATTTATTTCTATGGAATGTTTGAGTTCCTGTTCGCAATTCATTTTTTTAATCAAATCAAACTGCGTATATGCTAATGAATTTGAAAAATAGTGCATGGTTTAAAACTTTCATGAAAATCTCTTACTCGCCGGTCTAAAAAGAAGAAACAAACATTAATGCTCTACAGACATGTAATTTTATTCATTAATTAGATTGCAAATTAAACATACACAATTATTTAAAGCAGTCTTAATGCGTAATTGATTCAACCATTTTATGGACTCAATAATCAAATCGATTTACAATTAAAGATATCGATTAACAACCATATTTAATTATTTTCAATTACACATACAATAATACTATCGACGTTATTATCGGCTCATGTCTGTCTCTCTTATCTGAGCGCACAATAAAATAACAAACGAGAAAATCTAAAGTTTCAATTTGCTCTCTAGTTGTAATTGTGTTATAGATGGTGGCTGGTAACTCGTTTAGCGGCGTTCGCAAAAGTCAAAAGTTAAGCCACGGCGAATTGCCTACACGCTGATTGCGCTAATGCAAATACGCCTTAAGTACTTAAGTTGTTCGAGCTGTTCATGCGCGGCATAGGACACAGCTATATCACGGCAGCATCTACCTATCACCGATGCAGATGGAGTTATATCGTTATACTATAATAATTAATTATAGAGGCTCCTCCCATTTTCGAGTGCACGTGTTTCACTCTGTTATGACTCGTCGTTTTAAATATGTTTCCACACATTTAAATATTCTTTCAGACTAAACTGCTTGACTAAATTAATAAAACAAATCAATTTAATAGGATTATAACTCAAAAAAATGAAATAAAAACGAAAAGTTGATTAAGTTGTTTAATTGAGATCAAAATTCATACTGAATGTTTCACTATATAAAAAAATTCATTTAAAAATCAGATTGTAGATTTATTTGTTAGTCTTAGATGAATTTTAAAACAAAATTTCATAAAATTATTATCTAATATTTATTTTATGCAAAACAAATAAATTCATAGTATTATTGAATACAAATTTGCATTTTAATGTGTGCTAATTTAAATATCTGCTTTACACTGTGTTCGTAAAAAAGCATACAGAGATTAAATCAAATAAGGCAGTGGCGTCGAACGAATAAAAGAAGCAAAACCAAGCGACGCTGGCAAGCAAACAAAAATTATGGACATTAATAGAGATGTCCGGCCGATTGCAACCGCCAGGATTATTAAGCTATCGAAATTAATAAATGTTGATCACATTGCATACTTGTGTCGTAAACATGTCCTGACTTTAATCATTCGGCAATTAATAACGCCAAATGAAAAAATTCACTCGCTAAAAGGAATATTTTAAAGAATTAATATAGGCTGAATGTAAAAGCGAATAGGAAATAATTAATCGCTTGATATTAATAAGTATAATTTTAAAACTAATATGTAGATATTCATTCATCGCACCAATACACTTTTATTGCTTATTTGATTTAATAAATCAATGAAATACCAATTTTGATTGGCCCATTATATATGTTTTTGTCGGGCTATAAATGCGACACCTTGGATTCGTTCAGCTCGATCACAAATTTCCGCTGCGTTTTATGACCGCGATGCACATCCGTTCGATTTCATGCCAGCGTGCAAATGTCGCTGCCAATATGCTATTTAATAAATTTTTGCGCACCAAAAACCGACGCGACTGAAATTTGAAAGAGAAGTTACCTGCTCACGTCCTACGGTTCTTGCGCGCCTCTCATTCAATATCCATCACCTTCACGCTGTGGTGTGTTTGTATTTCTACGCGAGTGTATTCTTTACCTAAATTGGAATTAACTAATGGCCATTTCTATAGGTAGAGATAAAGCTCCCAAAGAACGATCAATCAATGTGACGCCCTGTTATTACATATCAGATAGATCGGATAGTGCATGAACACACGCATCTCGTGACAGAGAGAAGGTGGAAGAACACACGCACGCAACAGTTAGACAGAAAAAAAGAAATCTGCGATGCGGAGGCAAAGAAAAAAAAGAGGCGAATTGTGGATGTTGAATTTGAATTGAACGCGCACCATACTCGGCGTTATCTCATCGTGCGGATGGCAAATGATTTAGGGATACACATTGTTTACGTTCATTGCTCGCCGATCTTTCACCTACTTTTATATGTGTCTTGTAAGGATAAGAATGTATTGTATTACAAAACATATACCTACAACACATAAATAGGAAGTAAAGCATATATTTGTGATTCATATATGGAAATATTTCAAATATCTTAATTTGGACATTTATAACTTAACTTTCATAAAATTCCGGCAGATGTCCCACATGTATAGTGATAGTTCATAATTATTTCTCTTAAAATTTTATTTGCAGACCTAAAATTTAATATATTACATTTAAGACATAAAGTCTAATACAAGTCCCATATTTTGATATAAATAACATAAATAAAATTATAACAGCTCTTCAATCACGAGAGTAAAATTGTTTTAAAATTAATTCTTATTTGACTGCATTCCTTGTCAACCCCACATCATAACAAATGTTACTTTTGCACTCCTGTTAACAGCTATAACTATAAGGTTTCAGTTTCAATGCAATCCGTCAAAATTTACAAGCCATTGTTAAAATAATCAGTTTGCGAAACAGATGAGCATCATATCTCATATGTTTCTCTTCCAACTAGTTACCATTCGCACCATAGATAATAAATAGGCAAACTTCCTGACTGGCGAACTTGCATTCAGCTCCAACATGCTTCATACATGTGACTGATGTGACTAATGATACAATGGTGAAAAGTGACTCTCCCCAGGTTGCAAACAAGGTCATTTGTATTCGATAAGCCAAAAGAAATGAACGAGCGCGTTTTTAATTGAAACTAATATCACAACAACACATGACTCTGAGATCATATAGTAATTAATGAAATTAATTAATCCATCCATGCTTTTTGCCACTTTGGTAGAAAGTAAATTTTTGAATAATGACACAAGCGCTGAAAAAGAGTGCTGCTGTGAATGCTAACGCGGAATGGATTAAGCAACCACGTCCCATTTAAAAGCTTGCTGTAAAACAA